GAATGTTTGTTCTCATCTCCAATTGATGTGGGATCTCACAATCCACTCCTTTTGGGGCCCAATGTTCTTGCTGGTACACTGCCCGGTGTTTAGTTCTGATACCATTTGTAACAACCCAAGCCCACTGCTAGCCGATATTGTCCTTTTTACACTTTTTCTTTCAGGCTTCCCTTCAAGGTTTTTAAAACGTGTCTACAAGAGAGAGATTTCCACGCCCTTATAAATAATGTTTTGTTCCCCTCTCCAACAATTTGCTAGCGGTGGAGTTGAGCTGTTACACTTATTCCGCGTAAGTTCATTTATAAGGGTAGTCAAAAAAGGCAAAACTTTACCTCCTTCCCTCCCTACTTTTGTCTCTGGTTTCCCGGGTTCAACATTCAACTGATATTCATTTAAAGACAGAATTGTGGTGGGAGCCTCTTGACATGGAAATGGAGGACAGGGAAGGCCATTTGCCTCGTTTATTCTGCACTCTTCCCAAATTAATGTCGAAGATGAAGCCCTTCTTTCATATAACTTCTTTTCATGCCTATCAATCTCTCTAACCTTCTAATCTCTCTGACCAGTCGTTTGCTGACACACTAAGCATTTGGCCTGTAAGTTCATGATAAAACAAAGATTTCACAGCACTTCTTTTTCTGATATGCAGTCTCTATTCCTTTTCAATTTTGTAACACCAAGTCTCTTTCAGTTCAGTTTCCTCCCGTTCTAAGGCCCTGTCCTGTCAAGACATAATCAATGGAGCTGGACTGAAGCTGAAGCTGAAGAGAAGTTTGATGGCTCTTCTTGGCTCTAAAGCTATTCTCTCTGATGTGGGTCAGTGAATTCTCTCACCCACCCACTTCCCACCATCACCATGTTCATTCATGTCATCTTCTTCAACTCAATAGACTGTCCTCTTCCATTAAAACTGAATAGACTGTTCTCTCAAGGATTCTCGTGAGATCCAACTTCGGTGGGAGAGGAGTGTAGAAACCTCTCCCTAACATACGCGTTTTAAAAACCTTAAGAGAAAGCTCAAAAAGGATAATATCTGCTAGCGATGGGCTTGAGTTGTTATAAATGGTATTAAAGACAGACACCGAGCAATGTGTCAGCAAGGAGGCTGAGTCCCAAAGGGGGAGGACACGAGGCGGTATGTCTGGGGTGGATTGGAGGTCCCATATCGATTGGAGAAAGGAACGAGTGTTAGCAAGGACGTTGGGTCCCAAAGGGGGTGGATTGTGAGATCCCACATTTGGAGAGGAGAACAAAACATTCCTTAGAAGGGTGTGGAAATCTCTTCCTAGCAAACGCGTTTTAAAAACCTTGAGAGAAAATTCAAAAGAGAAAGTCCAAAGAGAACAATATCTACTGTGGGCTTGAACTTCAAAAGTTTCTGTCGTTTTATGTTGAGAAAGAGGACGATGGAGAAGAGGATATACTATATGATGTCTTTTATCCCTGCACCTCATGGTAATGAGTAGTGTCAGTTAGGATGAAGAGAAAAGGATTCAAAAAAGATATAATGATAAAGAGAAGGGCCAGGTGAATATACATAATATTAGTGCAGGCCTAGCTAGCCTAGAACAACACTGTAGCTCCATCCTGCTGGGCTGCTTTAGTCAAAAAGTGAGAGAATGAACAAGTACTATTCAATCCTAAAGCGCTATATGTTGTAAGAACAACAAGAGAACCAAACAGAAAACTTTTGATCAACATGCATCATCTTTGGCTACTTGGTTGCTACTGTTTCAAAGTAATGAGCTATCATTACTAATTTTTCAGATGCATTACTAATATTTGAAGTAGAAATGAAACTAAATGAGCATATCACGCTGATGACAGATTAAGAAATGCTGAAAATAACGTATATAAAGAATGTTTCGATCCACTCTCCAACAGATGTGCGATCTCACAATCCACCTCCCTTCGAGGTCTAGCGTCCTCATTGGCACTCATTCCCCTCTTTAGTCGATATGGGATCTCATAATCCATCCCCTTTTGTAATGGTTCAAGTTCACCGCTAGCAAAGCCGTGGACCTGGGCCGTTACACCCTTCAAGGCCCAGCGTTCTTATTAGCACACCGCCCGAAACCTGGCTCTAATACCATTTGCAACAGTCAAAACCCACCGCTAGTAGTTAATTTCCTTTTTGGGCTTTTTCTCTCAAGCTTTCCTTCAAGGTTTTTAAAACGTGTTTACTAGAGAGAGTTCAATATCCTTGCAACTATATGTTATGAAAACTTTGACTCGAAAGAAATGATCAGCCTTTCAACCACATGCATAAAAGTCTTGCTCGGATATCATTATTATCGCCTCGGATTAGGCTTCAATATGTTATGCTCGATCAAATAGCTTCGTTTCTTTCTCACTGACAAGATTGTTAATGTCATATAGAGCACTTTATTTAGGTGTGGTTAATAGCACATATGCAGAGGAAACCCTAAAGAACAAAGAAGAGAGAAGATGGAAGGAAAGGAAGTGAAATGGTGAAGAAAGGCAATGAGGGTTTTGAATGGACTCCAAGGCGTATGATTGAATCGAGTTTGTTTTTGAGGCTTTTAAGATGAAACCCACTTCAAATATCATAATATATTCTATTTTATATCTTTGTGTTTGCACTCTTCTTCTGGGAAGGAATCTTCCAACTATGTGAACCCCATAATGACCTAAAAAAAGGGCCTTCTTTTTTGCACCCACCATCATCACAAGTTTTGTATTCATATCTAACAAAGTGATCAAATTCAAAAACCAACACAAAGTCCTAAGCAAAGCAAATCATTATATTTGACCTTATCAACTTGGTTCCCTACCCATTACTCTTATTAATTTAATAAAATCATTCACGTTAAGATTTCACGTCCATTGTTGAGAGGAACGAAACATTTCTTATAAAGATATAAAAACCTCTCTCTAGTACATGCGTTTTAAAACCATGGGACTAACAACGATACGTAACGAGCAATAACAGACAATATCTACTGGCGGTCGCTTTGGGCTGTTACAAATGTTATCAAATCCAGACACTAGAATATGTGCGAGTGAGGATGTTAGCCTCTCAAAGGGGTGGATTGTGAGATCCCACATCAACTTGGGAGGGAAACGAAGCGTTCCTTATAAGGGTATGAAAATTTTTCTCTAGTAGACGCCAATAAGGACGCTGGCTCCCAATGGGAGTGGATTGTGAGATCCCACGTTGATTTGAGAAGGGAGCGTAGTATTCCTTATATGGGTATGGAAACCTCTCTCTAGTAGACCTTAGCAAGGACGCTGGGCTCCTAAGAAGGGGTGGATTGTGAGATCCCACATCAGTTGGAGAGAGTAACGAAACATTCTTTATAAGAGTATGCAAACCTCCTCTTAGTAAACGTTTTTCAAAACAGACGATACATAACAGTCTAAAATGAACAATATCTGCTAATGGAAGGCTTAAATTCTTACCGAAGGCGTTGGATGAACTTGGAAGCGTATATTCAAAATGTGGTGGCATCATTTGGTTTGTTTCTAATTCCTTTGAAATGGGTCCATAAAATTCAAAACCCTTCACCATTTAAGCATATACATAAAGAAAGAGAGGAGGGTTTTGAAATGGGAAGGTAAAGCATAAAGGCATAAACTTTAGTAGAGAGAGTCCAAAGGCTTTTAGGATGATGTATATTACATTTACCCCATCCCAAAGTGCCGACATAATGAGACAAACTATACAAACATATATGAATCGGGGACAATAATGTTAATCACTGTACTTTTCCACTGCAAATGGAATGTTTTTTTTAAAGAAATCAAATCAAATCAGTGCATGCCTTCTCCCTTAATGCTCTTTAGTGCCTAAAACCTAGTAACTAATGATCTAGCTAGGGTTCTTAAGTACACTTAAAAGGGTTTAGAGATATTGTTTGGAAGGACAGGTTTCAATAATTGTGGTATTATAAGCAACATTAAACCTTAAATTGAAGTGCGAGGTTGTAGGCGTAGGTACATGTTTTTGTCTATTTGTGAGCAAATATGTGGCGCATGCTGTCGTCTGTGACACCTTCTGTGGGCTGTTTGTGCAAAAGCTGGTTCAATAATCAGTCTCGTCTGACCCTCTTTTTCTCATTATGTTGTTCAACAATACTTTCGACTTTAATCAAACCATATGCATCATTAATTATGTAAAGTAGTTCATTTTTGGTTTTTGTAAAGTGAAACACAAAATTTTATAATTTTGCTCCCAATGAATGCCATTTTGTTCGCACTCTAATACAAATTTGTGAATTGGTGCGACTATTTTTTCAAATGTGTTGGTCGAGATTCTCGGGATCCTCAGAATTGATGGAACTTGATTCATTTGCCTTAGTTGACCCAGAACTTAGCTTCAAGCTTGAGTCACCTCAAGCCTTCACCGTACTTATGGGTCGTCTTAGATGCTTACCTCTCACGTACGCCACCGTAGAACTTTGGCTTCCACTTTAATTGCTTCAGGTCTTCATCTTACGTCTAAGATTGCCTCAAGTTTACCGCTAGCAAATATTGTCCATTTTAAACACTGTCTCCACACCCTTATAAGCAATGTTTCGTTCCCCTCTCCAACTGACGTGGGGCTCAAGCTCATCGTTAGTAGATATTGTCTATTTTGACTCGTTACGCATCGTCGTCTCCACACCCTTATAAGAAATGTTTTGTTCTCCTCTCCAACCGATGTGAGATCTCACAAGCTAGGGAGGAAGCAAGCCCCAAGGGGATAGTTTGTGAGATTCCACATCGGTTGAGGAGGGAATGAAGTATTTCTAGTATTTCTTGTAAGGGTGTGGAACTCTCTCCCTAGTTGACGTGTTTTAAAACTGTGAGGCTGACAACAATACGTAACGAGTCAAAACAAACAATATCGACTAGTAGTGGGTACATAAAACTATTCATACATGTCTAGATCAATTATAACGTCGAGAAAATTGAAGGAAGTTGAATGCCACTCACTAATCTTCATTTTATTACTTATCAAGATTCATACACCTATGAATTTCACCATAGAAGTTAAGAAATTAAAGCTCAATACATGGATACAATTAATTATTAGGTAATATCGTTACATTGGTGGCATTCAAGTATCTACATTTCTACATCGGTGGCATTCAACAAAAACATTAACTTGGGTCACAAACATTTGTAAATAATACCTCAAACTTAAAACCCATGAAAACAAAAGCAAAAATTCCACAACAAATTGACTGAGAATACCAAATTCTAGGAGGACAAAAGTTTAGAACAGTAAGTCGTCCGACAAAGAGACAGTAGGGTTTTGTAAGCATGCTGTGGCGACGGCCTCGCCATGGGCTCGCCTGCGGTGCAGTTCAGTGCTAAGTTCATAAACCCCACGATCTGGTTCGGGTCAGCGGCGGCGTCCCCGCTAATCGTACCATCAACCCACGTGTCGGTATGACAATCGGAGTAGCAGTAGCGTGCCCATTCCACCAGGTCTTGCCGGTCAACGGGTCCTTTTCCGGTTACCAATTGGATCAGAATCAGCCCCAATGTGTATACGTTGCTTTTCTCCGTTGTGTCCCTACTTTCCTTGGCCTCTGCCACATTTTTTTTAAATAAAAAATATAAATAAAAATATAAGTAGCTTTCTCAACGTGCATGGATTACATATATTCATGCAAATTCTAAAATTTAACGCATAAATTCAAATAAAGTTTTTTAAAACCGTAGAAATTGAGAATATTTGCTAAAATCACCCGTGAAAATTCTCTATTTATAATTATTTAAATAATCAATTAAATAAATTAGAAATTATACCAAAAGAGTAAAAGTAATAAATGAATACAAAATATTTGTGTATGCTTAAACTAAAAAATTTTAATTTTTATAATTCAATAAGAAATTAATACAATATATTTGTCTATAATAAAAAGTTAAATATCCTCAATTATATAAAATATTTGATAGTAATAAAAATGTGAAATATATATATATATTATTAAACCATCGTCATATAAATATAAGATATTTGACATTAATACAAAGTTAAATATGATGTATCTGATAAACTATAATTCAGGACTACATATTATTAATAAAAATATACGTACCAGGGGCGAAGTAGAGGGGAGAAACGGTGGTGGTAGACAATCCGATGAGAAGTTGGGGTTGGTGTTTCTCATTGACGATGATCTTCTCCGGCGAGAAATTGGCGGCAATAACTCCGGGGGAACAGCGGGGGTGGAGAAACTGCAAAGCGCCGGAGATTCCGAGGGCGATATTACGACGTCGTTCCCAGGTGAAATTCCGGACAGCTTCACACAAATATTGTCCCCTGACATATTCACCGACCAAGTATCCAGCTTTCACGGACCGGCACGCGCCGAGCAACCTCACTACGTTTGGGTGTCTAAGCCGCCCCAATTCCTCAACTTCGTTCCAAAAATGCCCTTCAGCCATCAATTTCTTAACGACCACAAATTGAACCTCGTTGGTCCCCACTAATATCCCGCTTTTGTCGGCCTCCGCCGACGACAGAATCGCCTCCACCGTCACCAATTTGGACGCTTCCGGATCGAAGAATTTAACCTCCCATATTCCGTCGTCGTTTTGCACTATTCTTGTCAGCTTACGACGTCGTATTGTAACCAACACTGCCGTCGCAATGAACAACGCGGCCAACCCCAATACGAGCATGAACCACCATAAGTGGTTATACCCACGGTTTTCGCATGCCGGTAACTGGCTCGTAATTATATCGCCGCCGCATAGATCATTTCCGGCTACGGCGCTTGCGTTTATGTCCAAAAACGCTCCGGTGGACGGCAACGCTCCGTAAAAGTGGTTGTGGGAAATATTTATCTGAACAAGCGATGGAAATCGGCCGAAAACCGGTGGAATTTCGCCGGATAATTCGTTTTCCGACAAATCGAGGAAGCTCAGAACCGGAATTTGAGTGAGGATCACCGGAATTTCGCCGATTAGCTGATTATGGCTTAAATCTAAACTCACAAGCTTCTTACAGGAAGAAATTTCACTCGGTATCCGACCGGCGAGATTGTTGTTACTCAAATTAAGTTCCATTAGCTCTGAAAACCTTCCGATACTCTCCGGGATCGAACCCGAAAATTCATTCGCCGAGAAATCCAAACTCTCGATTTTACCCTTTCTTATAAATTCCGGCAAGTTCCCTGAAAATCTATTCCTCGCTAAACTCATCATCTGAAGAGACGGCAAATCCCATTTGTTGCCGTCGATTCTACCAGAAAATTGGTTGCCGGAGATATCCAGAAAGTACAGTAGGGGCAGTTTCGTAAATTCTGGACACAATTCGCCGGAGAGACGGTTGTGTTGAAGCCGAACACGCCGTAAACTCTTGCAAGAACAGAGACTCCGTGGAATTTCGCCGGTGAGAGAGTTGGAGAAGAGGATGAGTTTAAAGAGGCGCTTAGAATCACAGAGCCCATCTGGGATTTTTCCGGTTAGGAAATTAGTCGAAACGTCGAGAATGGTGAGATTGTTTCGCCGTCCAAGTAGCTCCGGGATTTCGCCGGAAAACCCGTTCGACCATAACTGAAGAATCTGCAGGCGAGGCAGAGAAGCCAGAGCTCTCGGAATTTTTCCGGTGAAATTATTACCAAACAGATGCAAAATCTCCAAATTCTGTAAATGAATTACAAGCTCCGGAATCTCTCCCGAGAGAGAATTGTCGCTTAAATCCAGAGAAATCAGATTCACAAGACGGAAAATCGACGGAGGAATTGTACCTGTCAGACCATTTTGGTAGAGGAACAGATATTGAAGTCTTGTGAGATTCCCAAAAGATTCTGGAATTTTCCCTGTTAGCTTGTTGTAAACAAGATCAAGATGATTTAAAGAACCCAATTGGCCGATTTCTTCAGGAATTTGCCCGGAAAGATTATTGTAACCCAAATAAATCCACCGGAGTCTCTTCATTCCGCCCAATTGCGTCGGAATTTCTCCACTCAGTTTATTAGACGCCAATGTTAAGAACTCCAACGATTTGAGATTCGCAACAGAGTTCGGAATCTCTCCGGTCAAAACATTCCCACCCAGATCAAGAAATTGAAGATCAGAGAACAACAATCCAATATCTTTCGGAATTGAACCCGAAATCATGTTGTTGGATAAGTCTAATGTTTGAAGAACAGAGACGCCGCCGGTGGGAAGTGGGCCGGTGAAATTATTGTTACTCAAATTCAAATGCAGAAGAGAAGAAGAGGCGACGGCGACGGCGAACATATTCCAAGGAAGTTCCCCGACGAATTGGTTGTCGGAAAGGTCGAGAATTTGGATGTGGGGTAGTCGTAAAACAGAGTCGGGGAGTGTGGCGGTGATGTTCTTGCCGGAGAGGTTAACAGCCGTGATGTTAGTGAAGCTAGAGTCGGTGTCGTTGCTGCATGTGATGCCATTCCATCGGCAGGTGGGAATAGAAGGAACCCAGTTGGAGAGAAGGCGTGATGGGTCTCTGGAAACAGAGGCTTTGAAGGATAAAAGAAGGTGAGTTTCATGGAGGCGATGGTGGAGAGCAGCTGAATATTGATTCACCAGAGAGAGGAAGAGAAAGAAAAACATGGGATTATGAGAGGTTTTGGATGTTCCTTTCCCCATGACACTTGATTAGCATTAGAAGCAGCTCAGGGTCTTGGTTTCAAGCTTGGGAAGGCAGCCATGGAAGGAGTGATAGAGAAGAGCGTGACAAAGAATGGATTGCAAGGGTATATATAGCATATAGAATAGGGTTAGGAATCACCTACTCCACTGTCACATGATATTGTCCACTTTGAACATAAGCTCTCATGACTTTACTTTAGGCAATATCATACAATAGTGGTCATCTGTATTTCCTAACATGATATCAAAGTCATACCCTTAACTTAGTTATGTCAATAGAATCCTCAAATGTCGAACAAAGAAGTTGTGTGTACTTTGTTCGAGGGCTCTAGAGAAGGAGTTGAACCTCGATTAAGGGGAGGCTGCTCGAGAGCTCTATAGGCCTCGGGAGAGGCTCTATAGTGTACTTTGGTCGAGGTGAGAATTGTTGGGCTTTACCCAAAAGGCCTCGTCCCAATAGAGACGTACTCCTTACTCAGAGATCCATGATCATTCTTTAAATTAGCAGGTAAACGTGGACTCCCGACAATGAAAGAGGGACAAGGGGTGGAAAAAAGGGTGGGAGTGGTCTCAAGGGAGTGAAGGTTAGGGAGTGTTAGAGAGAATATATTGAGCAGTGATAGCAGGAGTAGCAGAGTAGTAGCAGGAGATGGTGAGTTTACAGAAGATGGGAAAGAATGAAAAGGAAAAGGGGAAAGTGGAAGAGAAGGGGAAGGGAAAAGAAAAGGGAAAGTGGGTTGTCTTTTGGTGGTAGCTAATACACTAATGCCACTGGACGTGCACCATATTTCTCCTTTTAATGCCACCTTTTCTCCAAGAAAGGAATATACACTCGATTCGACACTTGATAACCACGACATTCTTCTCCATTGTTTCAGCATGTTTTGTTCTCATTCACATGGAAATTTTCGAAAAACGTGAGTGAAGACAAAACGAAACATGCTGAAATGTCTCATGTTAGTTCTGAACATATTTGAACTCCCCTTGTAGCTAGTAAATATTGTCAGCTCAAGCTCACTATTGGTAGATATTGTCCGCCCAATTTCACCGCTAGTAGATATTGTCAGCCCAAGTTCACTGCTAGTAGATATTGTCAGCCTAAGTTCACCACTATTAGATATTGTCAGCTCAAGCTCACCGCTAGTAGATATTGTTAGCCCAAGCTCACCACTAGTAGATATTGTTAGCTCAAGTTCACCGCTAGTAGATATTGTCAGACCAAGCTCACCGCTAGTAGATATTGTCAGCTCAAGTTTATCGCTAGTAGATATTGTCAGCTCAAGTTTATCGCTAGTAGATATTGTCAGCCCAAGCTCACCGCTAGTAGATATTGTCAGCTCAAGTTCACTGTTAGTAGATATTGTCAGCCTAAGTTCACCACTAGTAGATATTGCCAGCACAAGCTCACCGCTAGTAGATATTGTTAGCCCAAGCTCACCACTAGTAGATATTGTTAGCTCAAGTTCACCGCTAGTAGATATTGTCAGCCCAAGCTCACCGCTAGTAGATATTGTCAGCTCAAGTTTACCATTAGTAGATATTGTCAGCTCAAGTTTATCGCTAGTAGATATTGTCAGCCCAAGCTCACTGCTAGTAGATATTGTCAGCCTAAGTTCACCACTAGTAGATATTGTCAGCTCAAGTTTATCGCTAGTAGATATTGTCAGCCCAAGCTCACCTGCTAGTAGATATTGTCAGCACAAGCTCACCCGTAGGTAGATATTGTCAGCCCAAGCTCACCTGCTAGTAGATATTGTCAGCACAAGCTCACCCGTAGGTAGATATTGTCCAATTCAGCCTGTTATGTATTACCATCAGTCTCGTAGTTTTAAAACGTGTCTATTAGGGGTAGATTTCCACACCCTTATAACAAATGTTTCGTTACTCCTTCCAACCGATATGGAATCTCACACTCCGCAATAGATCCTAAACCTATAACACCTCTAGCCAAATCCATAGATTCATGGAGTGAGTTATGGCGTAAGCATGATGTACAGAAGGCAAATCAAGCAGACCCAAATCCCTTGATTAAGGGTCTCCCTCGCACTCTTTTAGGAACTCGTAGGGGCAGATATGTTCCTAAATTAGTGCTCCAGTTCATATACAATATGAATTAATCCTGAGCTAATCACCCATAAAACACTTTAAAAAACCACATTTAAAGGTATAATAATAATGGAGATGGATGATTATCACTTTGGTTTTTGATGCACTTCTTTGCATGCTGTTTCCTTTTTTTGCTCCTTTTACAAGCCATTAACATCTTAATGCACAGTTCTTTATATATCAATGTCGGTCGCTTTGGACCCTACCAAGATTTTTGTGTATAACCCTAATGGATCATTCTTATTATAATACTAAATGAATGTCACATGCACCACATTAAACCCCTCCCATCAACTTAAACCTAAAGTTTTCATCAAATATCCTTTCAAAGATTTGCATAATCAACGTTACGTATTCTGTATAGAGAGAGGTTTCTATAGCTTTAAACGGAATGTTTCGTTTCCATTTCCAACTAACGTGGAATCTTATAATCCACTCTCTTTGATGGTCTAGCATCTTCGAAATTTCCACACCTTTATATGAAATGTTTTGTTCTCTTCACAATCGAATATCAAATTTATTTCTTCTTTGTATAACCATATCGCGAATCCATCGATTTAAAGTGCAAATCCAATCATACTGTCACATAAGAGTTGGAGTTTGTGTTAGTGCATGTATTATAAGCACATTGGTGAGGAAAAGTACAATAATTGATTATAAATTGAATAAAAACTATGGAAAAGAGACAAGAGTAGTGGGTTTTTTTCTAGTTTATAATCATATACAAATCAAACTAATGCATATCATGATATGGGAATCTCACATAAACTTCTTTTCTTTTCATTTCATTGCATTGTTAGGCTAATCCTAAAATTTGGAGCTTAATGTCTATGGATAACTACAAAGTTAATATATAATTTTGCTTATCCAACTACAAATGTGTGCCCTTTGCAGGACAGAGCGTAACAACTCAACCAGGGAATGAAGCATTCTTTACAAGAGTATGAAAATCTCCCCCCTAACAGACGTGTTTTAAAACTATGAGGCTGATAGGAATACGTAACGGGTCAAAGTAGACAATATCTGCTAACAGTGAGCTTTGGTTGTTACTAATGATATAGTAGCCAAACACCGGGCGGAGTGCTAGCGAGAACGTTGAAACCCCAAAGTAGGTGGATTGTGAAATCTCACATCGGTTGGAGAGGAGAACGAAACATTTTTTTATAAGAGTGTGGAAACCTTTCTCGAGAACATATACGCTTTAAAACTGTAAAACTGATGATCATACATAACAGGTCAAAACGGACAATATCTACTAGAAGTATAAGCTTGAGCTATTACATTAATTTAGCTGATTTAGGGTTGAGGGTTTATCCATCACGGTACTACTTCACTATTTTGTAACTATAGTATACATCAAAAGCATAGTAAATTGGGAATAAAATGTCAATATCATGGTGAATAGGGCCACCATTTCACATGCAATATAATATAAGGTATTAGAAGATAGACATGGGTCCAAGTCCAACCCAATATTATATGGACCATTATCTACAAACCCTTTTGAATTTAATTTTCTACCTCTAAAAGTTAATTTTTTTGCATTGCGCACGTGTGGCGTGGAGCTCTCAAGCTAAATGGGAATTGCAAACCAATTGGGCGTAACTTCGGCTAAAGTGCGTCAAAAAGGGACTTTGGTTGGGACCATATGCAATTATTGCTCTCTCTTCAAAACTTGAATCAATCTTCTAGCCATCATGGACCACTCTTTCTCACTTAGGCCCGTTCTCTTCCTGGGCTTTATTAAACCCATCAGTAGGCCCATTCTCTTCCTGGGCCTTATTAAATTCATCAGTAGGCTCATTCTCTTCCTGGGCTTTATCAAATCCATCAGTAGGCCCATTCTTTTCCTGGGCGTTATTAAATCCATCAGTAGGCCCATTCTCTTCCTGGGCTTTATCAAATCCATCAGTAGGCCCATTCTCTTCCTGGGCCTTATTAAATTCATCAGTAGGCCCATTCTCTTCCTGGGCTTTATCAAATCCATCAGTAGGCCCATTCTCTTCCTGGGCCTTATTAAATTCATCAGTAGGCCCATTCTCTTCCTGGGCTTTATCAAATCCATCAGTAGGCCCATTCTCTTCCTGGGCCTTATTAAATTCATCAGTAGGCCCATTCTCTTCCTGGGCTTTATCAAATCCATCAGTAGGCCCATTCTCTTCCTGGGCCTTATTAAATTCATCAGTAGGCCCATTCTCTTCCTGGGCTTTATCAAATCCATCAGTAGGCCCATTATCTTCCTGGGCTTTATTAAACCCATCAGTAGGCCCATTCTCTTCCTGGGCCTTATTAAATTCATCAGTAGGCTCATTCTCTTCCTGGGCTTTATCAAATCCATCAGTAGGCCCATTCTCTTCCTGGGCTTTATTAAATCCATCAGTAGGCCCATTCTCTTCCTGGGCCTTATTAAATTCATCAGTAGGCCCATTCTTTTCCTGGGCCTTATTAAATTCATCAGTAGGCCCATTCTCTTCCTGGGCTTTATTAAATCCATCAGTAGGCCTATGTCCAGCCCATTAACTTTCTTCACATGCCTGCCTCCCTAGGGCTCTACACATGGAACTGACCATACTCCTATTGGAAGGATCACCCATGATTGCTTGGGAAGGGAAGGGTTTCAATCTTTTACCATAAATTACAAATTTAATCTATTGATTTTTTTAGAAAATTTGAAGTCGTAAAAAAAAATATATTACAAATTTTGTGTCGTGGTAAAAGTAAGGTCGTTGAATAGCTCATAAGATATCAAAAGTAAGCAAAGTCGAAGGCAGGTCAAACCCACATAAGTATAAGGGAAGACATTCATGAAGAGCGAGAAGGTGGAAGAACTAGCCTACTAAAATTTAGATATTTGTCTTTCGAGCCTTTTGACCTTCTAGCAACAGGTAGGTTGACAACTTTACACATCGTGTTGTGAGTGAGGCTAAAAAATGAGTCGAGCAAAGCCCTTTCCTGCCACCTCCTTACTTTAGGGCTTGCTTGTCTTTAAGGCATAATTCAACTTTTGACCCTATTGGGCTTCCCCACTTTCGATGTCCAATAAAAGGTAATAGCTTTATAGTTAATATATGGTAAGATATTGTCTATTTTAGCCTGTTATATATAGTCGTTAATCTCACAGTTTTAAAACGCCTACTAGGGAGAGGTTTTCATACTATTATAAGGAATACTTCGTTCTTCTCTCCAACTAATATGGGATCTTACAATCCACCCCCTGAGAGTCTAGCGTCCTCACTAGCACGCCATCGCCCACCGCTAGTAAATATTGTCCGCTTTAGACCATTATGCATCGCTATCAACCTCACGGTTTTTAAAACGCGTCTACTAGAGATGTTCCCACACCCTTATAAGGAATGTTTCGTTTCACTCTCCAACTGATGTGAGATCTCACAATCCACCCCCTTGAGGGATAGCGTCCTTGTTGAGACCGTTACGTATCGCAGTCAGGCACACGATTTTAAAACATGCTTCGTTCCCTTCTCCAACTCATATAAGATCTCACAACAATTAAGTAAAGCTATACATATTATTCAAACATCCATGTTATTTATGAACATCAAAGTTGATGATTATAAAACCAAATCATAAACGTAAGCAAACTAATGATTAGTAATACACAACAACGTAGGATTACTCAACAACAAACTGAATCTTAGGATCACAGCTAACACTTCGAGAGAGCCTATTGGAAGAAGAGCCAAAATCAGTGGAATCATGGGTTCGTTTCTCAAAGCTTTTTCTAGCAATCCTTCTCATGGAAGTGGTCAAGGAGAGTTTAGGGTTAAGCCTTGTGGTGGCGTTGAATGCATCACAAAACTCCCTGTGAAACTCCACAGCTTGCCCAATGCTTATGGATGGAAACTTCAAGGCTCTCTCTTTAACAGCTTCAGAGCAGAGCCCACAAACCCATTTCCCTGAGAAGAAGGTTTGGACCTCTAAAATGTAGGGTTTGGTGCACTCCTCTTTGAGCCCACAGCACCTGCATTCAGCCTGTTCTATCACTACTTCTTCTTCTTCTTCAATTCTGCTCATCTTGATCTCTTCTACTTCTTCGTTGATACTCAGTTTGTGCCGTTCGATCTCCTCGCTTAAATCCGATACCGCTCTACGAAGAAATACCTGCTGCTCGTTCTGCATAAATATACATGTATTTGTATTCAGGTTGATGATTAGGCAGTTGTACTATACTCAAATTGGTATAAATATTATTCGAGAATTTGAGGGAGAGTTACAATTTAACTTATTATTTTTAAGTATTTGAAATGTGTATAATAATACAACCCTAAAAGAATTTGGTTTTCATATTGATTTTGTGTAACAGCTCAATCCCATTACTTATTCGTATTGACCTAATGCGTATTGTCGTCAGTCTCACGGTTTTAAAACGTGTCTGCTAGGAAGAGGTTTTCACTCCCCTTATAAGGAATGCTTCGATCGTTCCTCTCTCCAACTCATGTGGGATCTCAAAATCTGCTCCCCTTGGGGGCCAGTGTCCTCACGACCGCCTAGTATCTGGCTCTAATACCATTTGTACAACTCAAGCCAACCACTAGCAAATATTGTTTGCTTTGGCTCGTCATGTATCACCGTTGGCCTCACGGTTTTAAAACGTGTCTATTAGGGAGAGGTTTTCACACCCTTATAAGGAATGCTTCGTTTGTTCCCCTCTCTAACCAATGTGGGATCTTACAATCCACTCTTCTTAGGGGTCCAGCGTCCTCGCTAGCACACTGCCCGGTGGCTTTGATACTATTTGTAACAACCTAAGCCCATCGCTAATAAATATTGTCAACTTTGGCCCGTTACATATCACCATCAGTCTCACAGATTTACCCTCATCAATTGACGTGGGATCTCGCATTTACATAAAATTGATGTAAATAATCTAAATTTTGATCATACCTCCAAATTGATAATACCCTATAGTACATCAGCAATAGTTTTTCAAATTTGTTTTAAACGATTACAAAACACGAAACGGAAATCAAAACTCTCAAAATCATAGGAACTAAACTAAAACGAACAACTTGAATCGAAACTTTTAAAACTATAGAACCGAATCAACAAAAAAACACACTACTGGGAATGATTGTATTATATATATATATATATATATATATATATATATATATATATATACCTGCATGACTGAAAATGATGAATCTCCTGTTGCTGGAGAAAATGATTGAGCAAACATCAGGAACTATTTAGCAATGTGAAGCAAAAGCTGAAGTTTTTAGAAAGCTTCTGTTGAGTTTACGTTTATATATAGCAATTAGCATGCGTGTGGCTGATGCTGATGCTAATAGATAGCCGGGGAGAGATTAAAATCTGCATTTTGGGCTCACTTTTTGATATCATTAATGACCAAATTGGCACCACTAGCCTCCATCGGATTACGCAATGAATTTGGGGTTGCAATTTGGATATTGATGGAGATGCCATATGGGACCATGGATTTGTATTTAATTTCAAGGGTTTCTCACATTTCATATATATATATATATATATTTATGCTCTCGTGAGGGATTCACGAGCCTCTATTATGCATAGCCAGCTACTAGGTGATTTAATGTTGTTCCTAGATCAAGCATGTTTAAAATCTCCTCATGTCAAATTAATCTAATCTAATCTCTTAAACATACAAATATATGAGCAGTTGATCATTACCCAATTAGCCTGAAGTGGGTTTGATTAATTTTTTTATAATCATGAACATGATTATTTGAGAGTTTATGGATAAATTGAAGCTAGAAATCATAGTTTTGGTGGATGAAGTAGTGCATGGAAGTGGAGCTCAATTGGTTGTTTTCTAGAATATTACTGGTTCTTTCAGCTGGTTCACTCGTGCACCAGAAAATGAAAGGAAGAAAGATCACAAATTTGACCAACAAATTTCTTCTAGGCTTGTTGACGTGAGATTCCACGTAGGTTGAAGAGGGAAACGAAGCATTCCTTACAAGGGTATGGAAATCTCTCCTTAACAAAGATTGTGTTAAAACCGTGAGGCTAATGACGATACGTAACGGACCAAAGCAGGCTATATCTAATAGTGATGGGTTTGGACTATTACAAATGGTATTAGAGTCATACACTAGCGGTATGGGATGCTTGACCTCTAAAGGAGTGATCGGTGATCCCACCTCGGTTGGAGAGGGGAACGATGCATTTCTTATCAGGGTATGAAAATCTCTCCCTAAGCAGACACGGGTAAAGTAAACAATAGTTACTAACCGGTAGGATTTAGTAATTAGAGTTCAAGTCTCGGAGGGTTGAAATACGGTTATTGTAGCCATTAGTTATTGGTTTGTGTACCTAATCTTTTTCTTTATTTAGTTGGAAGGATTTTCTTCTTTGTTTAGAAGAAAAAATGAAAGTGGATTCCATTGCATGGATTTCACAAAAAGAAAGGGGGAGAGAATAGGGAGATATTAAGTTGAATGAGGATTCCGTGAAGTCCACTGCCATGCATTGCAGAAAGAGACGCACACTAAATAATGATACTTAAAATCCATTCATTTAGGCTCTAACTTAAATCATGATACCCCTTCTTCTTCTTCTTCACGGGCGTGTATCTTTGCTTTTATCCTTTCACTTTTTGTTTCTTAATACCCAAAACCCTTCATTAATTTATGTGAGTCCCTCACTTTTAGGCATCTTTTTTTTTTCATTCATAGGACTCTTTTTTTCCTCTTGTATATGCTCATACGACCGTAACTCAATTGATTAATATATTGTAATCAAGGCTAGACAATGGCAAGCCACGCCTTTTATCTCTTACTCTTCTAAAATTATCTGGATTTTAGACGTTATCTCCTAAATTTGAAACTTACAAACTAAATCTTCTAAAAACTAAATCGAACTTATCGAAATCACGAGTTGCTCTTAAGATCAATCAATTTGAGTTTCCTATACATGTACTTTGAACTAAGAGATTAGATGTTTGAACCCTTCTATCCTCTCATCCTCTCGTGTATTTGTCCAACTAAAAAAATCTAAACACAAAATCAAATATGTGGAGCGGTGTGAAGCTAAAAACAATCTCAAAACACATAACTAATGGTGGTTATATGAGTGAGAAGTTGGAGAGAGAGAGAGAGAGAATATATGGATGGGGTTTAAGTGCAAGAGATGCAGTTGAAGAAGTGATGGGGTAAAGTTTTAAAGTCCCTCGCCACCAAAAATGAAAAGAAAAAGGGCAGATGGTATGCAACTGAATTTAATTACAATCACTGTTCTTTCAGTTTGTACTATAGAAACTAGATGGTATTGTTCCAAAACTATGGGCTGAAGCCTGAAGCTGAAATAAATAACCCCTTCAAACGAAAATAATCAAACCAACAAAATGCATCTCATGTTTCTTCCCCCTCCCCTTAACTTTACAATTAATTCAACTTCAACCCCAGCCCTGCAATTAAAGCAAAACCCCTTCATCCTTACACCTATAAATTCCTTTTTTCTTTCTGAGATCTTCATACAAACCACTCATTAAGATACTCAAATATGTTTTATGAGTACATAGTTTAGTAATCTGGTGTTAGGACAGAGATTTGCAAGCCTACATAAACTTCGAACTCGTCTTTGCCCGATTAGCAGAGACGAGTATGTACAACAATTACATGTGCGTGTCCCATTCTTGTCCCCGAGGTTTATCGTCTTCGGACGAAATTAAAGATGCCATGGTTACAGAAGCAATAAGGTGAAAACATGAAAGCGGTTCTATTATGAAATTTTACATACAACATTACCTCAACTTGCTGAAAGAACAGACAAAATTAGCTTGAGCTATTGTGCTTTCTGAGGCAAACCATTCCATGTCTTCACTCTCCAGCTTAGATGTTAGAGTGACACATGGAAAGGTGATGAATCGATGGCAAAGACAGATTAGAATTGATGTGCCGGTCTGCGACATAATCTTCTCAAACGAACTTTTTCCTGGTAATTGGATAGATAAGTGTTGAGAATTCCTTCAAAAGCTGAATCTACGATCGACAAAGCATAAGAAAATGATATACTTGCCTCGGTGCTATCATGATCATAACGAATCAAGAAAAGACACCTGCAACCCCTAATATCATGCATTCTCCTCTGGACTTCTACAATATGGGCATCGTAGTAGATTGCCTGATCCCTCCTCTCCTAAAAATGTTTTAACACTCTAAGATGAAGTGGACTACTGAGAAATGAACAATTGAATGTTTTGCATAGTCACCTGGAAGCAGAGTACAAGGTCCCCAGCCTTCACCTTCTGGCACTCTGAATGTTCTAGAGGGACAGAGCGTTCTCGTACTGCCTGTTTTATGTTGACCCATTCATCTTCCTCAGCTCCAAATCCAACAAATCTGACACGCACTTCCTTTAATGAATCGACAAACCAATCAGACAACTATACATTCCATCCGCAACTGAAAACTAGCATGCAATTATACTCAGATACTCATATCACATACATACATGCATGTATAACTTAAGCGTGTTCCTCAAACCTAGACGCCTTTTGTGAACAATGAGCTCACTTGGGTCAACAAATCATGGAAGGCATGATAAATCATAAATACAAGACGGAAAAAAAAATGTGATGGTTCCAAGACTCACAGCTTCGCCTGAACTAAGAAATCTATGTGTAAGGAACATAGCAACATCATACCTGCATAATATTAGTGGAATGCCATCAGAACCCCAGAAAAAATTGAAATGGATTAAGAAACAAGCAGAAACCATAAATAAAGATTCATCTAAAACCAACGTAGAGTTCTCATTCTTTTCTGTATTATTTTTTCCCCTTAAATAACCTGAACGTAAAAAAAATTCGTAGTAAAATCATCCCCTTCATGTAGTTAGCCACATTCAACCTTCAATCCAGTACAATTTACATTCAGATACCCAGAAGAAATTTCCTAATTAGATTCAACAGGCAGCCTGCTTGTCGTGAGGAGAAGACTGAATAAGAGGCATGCTATTTTGAGATATTATACTGAAACATGTCAATCTGCATATGCTATTAATAAAACAACCGTTCTTATGAATCAAATTAACATCGCAGTAAACCAAAAGTGATTTTTCAATAGCAGTTACAAAGTAATCACACTGATAGTATGATTTTAAATGGCTACATAAACATGCAATTCAATGTGTGTCATAACTTCCCAATTCTTACTTCATAGCGCATTTATTTTTTGTTTACGATTTATAGAGATTGTTTGTGATCAGAAACAAAGATGCCGCTGAACGAAAGACTACAGAGGACCAGACATCAGATCTGGAAGGGGAAGCCAAGGAGTTTAAGAGAGCCCATCATCAGGAGAAGCTCCATACAGAGAGGGAGCCGACTACAAACAATATACAAGGCCAATCCCAAACTCCTATTCCTTATTTCCAAGGCTCCAACTCAATCTATGGCCAAGACCGAGCTAGGCAAAAGACAGCTTAATTTTGAATCAAACCCCAAAAATGCTCAAGAAAAGAAGGAGATTGTCAGATTTGAAACTCAAAGATACCGTTCAAATTAGCCTGTCTATCTAGATAGCTCACTCTTCTATCTGCTGATATCCATAGCGAGTCATATGCAATCCGTAAAAGACTGAATTCAAGCATATGTTTCTTAGCTCAATTAAAGACCATCAGAGCAAATACAGAGACAGGCACCCAAAAGATGCACCCAACCAAACAGAACCAACTTTATTAGTCAAAATTAATGGCAGTGGTTTCTTCACATACCATGCACCATCTTTTGATGACCTTGCTTCAAATTCCAACTCTGACAAATCTGGTTTCTTTTTGCCTGCTTTTAAACAAAGGTCATTAGCATGCGGAGGAGCAAAAGAAAAAGGTCCCATCTGCCCAAATTAATTTCAATAAAAAGATTATAAAATACAATAAAAAAAACACATTCTAATTCCATTTGCTATTTTTGTTAATAGGGAGTGCAAATATCCACTACACATTACGCACACTAATTAATTTCACATGACAAGTATTTGACCTTACCATATTTAGTTGTAAAGAAACTCATACAATTTTAATATCCTATGTAGGAGTTACAACACCTCGACACCGCGGGTGTGAACCCATTCCCCAAAATACCTTGTGTTTTTACACTAGCCTCAATGACCATCAGGTCAACCTATGGTAGTTAGCTCCATATTCTATGTTAAATAGTCCAACTTCTCGATAGAAAAACTAGGGAAGGAGAAAAAAAAAA